CACAATCCAAAAAAACCATGAATGAAGTAACATATAGAATGTCCTCTATATAAGGTCTCCATTCGTTAATAAAAGAGACAGACACACAGTCAGCACACAAAGACAGCCTTTAAACAGTGTAGACAGCACTGACCGACACATGAAACAAGACAGAGGATGAATTAAGTCATGAACATGAAGTGAACAGAAACGCAAGAATGAGAGGTCAGACTGGGGTTAAAGAGAAAGAGAATGTGCTTCCAGTCCAGTGCCTGCATTATGATCAGTAAGCCAGTTTAGACACTGATCTTTGACACCATTCAGAACAGACAACAACTACAACACTTTTGCCAAGCATCCTACACCATTTAACCATGATGTTTTGACCATTGTGTGGGTAAAGACACATTAACTACTAATAATAATGTGAATAAATAATAATTCTTTAAGTAATATAGTTCACTAACTACAGGCAGCTTGTGGTTGCCACACTCTTCAAACTGAATGTTCCAAAATGGTGTAAGTGTAAGCAACTTTATTCAATCAGAGTTTGGAGTCAGAGTTGTTTGTTCTTCTTGAGATCATTAGTTTACATTGGTGCTTACATCCTTTTTTTACATTAAAAAAACACTGAAATATATATTTTTTTAGATTTTTGTGAACATAATATTTTATTAAAAACACTTGACATTTTGTCCCCAAGTTTTCTCAACCCTTACAGTCATACCTCTCCCTTTTTACAATAAATTATATTTAAAAAAATAATCATACAGAATCATACAAACTTTTCAGTTAAAATGAAAGCCTCCTCTTTTTTCTTCATATTATGTTTTGTTGTATTTGTCAGTACATTGAATAAATTTTAATTTACATTTTAATTTTTTTTATTTTAGACTTGCAAACTTTTTATGACACGACTTTTATGTTGTATTCATTTACACGACAATAGCGTTTTGAGGGCCTGAAAATGTCAACTTTTGAAAACGGGTTTCAAAGTGCAAGGTTTTTAAACTGATACTTTATCAGTGTATCAGTGTCATCTCAGTGTAAAAAACGCAAATTTGTGAAATGGTGATCTTATGCGCATGCGTGTTACGTGTTCAGTGTATAGGTATGTGTATGTGCGCAGCCATGTGGTGTTTCTTTATAAGTGACATCGCCATCTACTGGCCTGGCATGAATAATACAGTGTTTTAAATTGTTTTCGTGGAGCCGTGTGAACGGGGATCATTTTGACGACGTTATCATCTGTACGCGAAAACCCTTATAAAAGTTTTTAGTACATTGACCCTCAGTCAATGTTTTTAGTTATATCAGCTCAATTATATTTCATCAATTCCACCCATTGTTAATACTTTTATTAATTATGAGTAAGTAGTGTACAAACAGCATTCATAAAAATGTTTTGTTGGTCTAACTTAAAGCGATTAAAATTGAATACATTTATCTGAACTTAAACCGTATTTGTGATTTTGATTAAATGGAAAGTACCATTAGTGTTTAATGTGCAGCTATGTTGGATATATACCAGAGATGGTTTGTGGTTACCACTGTGTTGAGGTGTAGAGCTTTTGCTTGCTGTGTGTGTTGCACGTTTGTCTGATGGGGAGGAGGGGCCAGTGTCCAGTGAGCAGAGGCCCTAGATCCAGTTCATCACTCTCAGGAAAAAAGTACCACCCCAGTGACAGCTTTTGTACCTTTTTTTCTGACTCTACCCATTTCATTTCAAATTAATAGTTAGCCCAGCATACGTTTCCGTACTTCATTCAGCATGCAAAAACTTACTAGCACTGACATTAGCACAGCTACTGCTCAATGAATGCAGCATCTATCATATCATACATCACAGTCTACAGACATCAACTGACACGCTGACCACAAGAGCTAATCTTAAACATGATGGAAACCACACAAATGGAAGTGGAAGCTTTTAAATGTCAAATATAACAACTTTAAACACTAACAGCGCTTTCCCTTTACTCAAAACTCATAGTAACACCCAATTTCAACAACACTCTTGATTCAGTTCTGTGCAAAGCATGATGGGAACTAAAATCAACTGCACAGTTTCAGTTCTGATTCATGTACTTCCATTTTACAAATTTGAAAATGAAATTGAATGCAAATGTCAGTCAAACAAAATATTCAAGAATTGTGTTGCTAATGTAAGGGATGGTCTTAAATAGCCAAATCTGTTACCTTGATTTTGTACAGTAAAAAACTGAATAATGCATTACATGTTCTTTCTAATAAGCATTTAGTACTTTCCAGACCTGGAGCACAGGGTTATGTTAGATCATGCCTCCACGCCAGAAATATCAGATTCAGCCCCGGACGCCAGCTCCTGTCAGAAAATATCTGTTTTGTTTGGTAACAGAACAACTAGTCAGCAAAATTATCTAATACCCAAAATCCGTTAACAGCAAGTCTGGTCTGATTCCCAAAACCAGTGTTTGTCTGGTACCCAAAACTCTATTAACAGTCTTCTATCAGCTAAGAAGCTGACTGAGCAAAGCCAGAGAAGAGCAGAAGCAGGAGACGAAGTGATGATGATAAAAAGGAGAAGAGTTTATTGAATAGTCTTAGTAGCGTACTGTATGTTTCAATGCTCAAACTTCGTCTCATGAACACAAATCCAACAAGTAGTGTTATACCAAACTGCTTCACTACAACATCCCATAAACCTTGAATTTCAGCGCATTACTTTATAAAGAAAGAAGAGCCTCTAACACTAGCATTCTCTATTCTTTCTCTATTCTTTCTACTTATTTTCTTTTTATTTATTATAAATAATGACCTTCTAACACTTGCATTATCTATTCTTTTTCTGTTCTATTGACTTGTTTTATTTTTATTTAAAAATGAAAAATCTAACACTAGCATTCCCTATTCCTTTTCTATTCTTTCTACTTGTTTTCTTTTTATTTATTATAAAAACAAAATAAGCAAACAAACAAAACAAAAAAAAACTTGCTATGTATACTGTTAGGCGAAGCTAAAACTAAAATATGGTCACCCTAGCTTGCATTTGAGGATCCTTAGATCCTTCAGTTAGTAACGGCCAAATCAATTAAAACGGTCACCCCTGTTACCTGGGCATAGCTACAGCATAAGCAAAATGTTAAAATCGAACAGAAATGTACTTCAAAATAAAAAATAATAAAAATTACTTTTTTAAAATAGAAATGTCACCCAATAACCCTTTTGTTTGTCAAACTGCAAAACATGCTAACACCAAACTACATTTGATAAAATAGCCTATCAAACTGTGTGAAACTGCATAGTTTAAATGCTCATTACACAGTGAACCGCAAGAATGTTCTTCACTGACCCATTTAAAGGAAACAAAAAGACTAAAACTGCTAATAAACTTTACACACACTAAACCCATTCATCACCAAAGCAGGCTACTTTTTCAAATGCACCGAGCTTGTTTGGACTTATTTACATCGCCTAACAGTTCAACTGTAAGTTCAGCGCTGTTGTCATTCAATTTTACAGTATGACTATATTGTAGGCTAATACAAATAAACCTGCATGTTTGCATAAGTACTTACACAGAACAGCGAGGAGTACCTGCCGAATATTCATTTTAAGTCCACGGTGTCGTCCAGCATCAGCACAAGCTCTCCAGCGTATCTGCATCCAGTCCAGTGTGAATGTGACACATCTGAGCCGCGCTGGAGGAGGAGGAGGAGGAGGGCTGTTTGCTCGCACACCTCAGATCGCCTAGCCATCGCGAGGCAACAGAATATGATGAAAATCAATAAGCTTTTGCCACATTTATTGGCGCACAGGTATGGCTTTACTAAATTAAATTGCTCGATACGACAGATCAACAACAGGTAAAATAGTGCTAAAAGTTATCTTATGGAGATTAAAAATTAAAAGTTGAAAGTGTAAAAAGGTATAATTAATATTATGAACTTACATTACCTCGGCATTAGCTACAAAAAACGAATTAATATTGTTAGGATGTGGTCAAAAATATAAGAAAAGTTGGGTAAACTGCTATAGAGGTGAGCGACATCTCTACTGTACAACGTTTCTTATATTTTTGACCAAATTTAACATTCCTAATGAAAGTTTACTAATAAAACCCTAACTTTATTGTTTTACTGACTTGAGTAAGGCTGTACTGAAGACAGCAGAGATTTTTTGAAGAAGAAAGTTTGTATTTATTTTATTATTTTACCCTTATTCTATCTATCTATCTATCTATCTATCTATCTATCTATCTATCCATCCATCCATCCATCCATCCATCCATCCATTTTTATTTATGCTTAATTATTTAATGTTCAATATTGGCAAATAAATAAAACAGCAAACAAAGGTTGTTTTAAAAGTTGTTGTTTAAGAGTAAAATCTAATGACATTTTGACATTTTAGCTGAGACTTAATTGTCTAAAATCTTTCTAAAATTCATGCTGAACAATAAGTGCTTTGGTAAACATGAACAAATGCCCATTAATCTCTTTAAGATATGTTTAGTATTTCAGAATAGCCACAAAGAAGAGGACAATTCAGAAAACTGGCCAACAAAAACAAGGTTTAAAGAGCATAATTTAATCTGCCCTCAGGGCTTGTACAATCACAACAGTAAGAGTCATTCATCATAAGTATTTCACATAGAGGAGTGTGCGTGTCATCATACTGGGGGTTTGTGCATGAGCGAGGTAAACGTCTCAGAGACACTTCACTAATAGTAATCTGAATCTAAAACAGCAGGACGTTAATGACTTGCAAAGGACAAACTTCAAATAATGTTTTTACAGAATTATTTGTTATGCTTTAACTGAGAACCATGTCGAAACTGAAGCAAGTCAGAACGAGAAGGAAGCAGGAAATGACAGAGGCATAAGCTTTAGAAATTCACCGCATCCCCCTCTGTCTTTAAGAAGACACATCCTGGCTCTCATGCATGTACCAACTCATTCGTTCATTCTTTTGAGTAAGCCCAAGTACGACTGAGCACCAAACGAGCAACAAGTGCAACAAGTCTCATGGAGAGAGTCAACAATCGTGAGATGCTTTAAAATACAGTAATATTATCACAACCCAGACCTCCTGCAGGACCCGAATGGCTGTCAGCTGAATATCAGTTATTAATCGGTACAATTCGAGGTAACATTATTCGCATGTAGTCACAGAGGTGAGCGTGTATGGCCCGTTCATGCTGGATTCTCACACAGACCCTCTTGTTCTGCCGGGTCCTGTTGATTTCCCTGTGGCAACGGCGGTCTCTTGAAGAAGCCAACCTGGTGGGATATCAGTATTGTATTAAGCATTTTTCTTTGTCAGAATTACAGTGTATTAGTAGTTGCAGTTCATGCTAAAACAAAGAGCACATACCTTCCATAGGATCAGCATAGCTACAGCCAAAAGGAGGAGGCCGCCGATGACACTTCCTATGATAATACTAATAGGAATATCTCCAATCGCTCTTTCTTTACTCACTGTAATTTTTATCTGCAGCAGAGTCAGGAAAGATTAGATAAAGCATATCAACACACACACACACACACACAGACAGTACTGTACATATGTGAAAGCTAAAATATTGTCCTTAAATATCGGTTGTATTTCATTTGATATCTTTATTTCTTTAATTTATTTTTTATTTTTTAAAGGAAAACTATTTGACAGTGTGGTGTTATATACGTAAACTTAATTCAAGACATGTAACTATTTGTTATTTTAAGAATGTTTAGATTTTTTTAAATATGGGAAAACATAACAAAAGTGCTTAAAACAAGCTTACTGGTCAAGCCAACTTCCCCATTAGTATGGCTATGTTGGTCAACCACTATGTTGACAAGCACTGAAAATCACTCTAAGCCAAGCTATGGTCTCTTCAGCAGGGTTGAGCATATCTTAAACACCACTGAAAGACAGGGGGATGAACTGACCTGTTGTTGTCTGTGTGTGACGACTATGAGATCAGGCTGAGATGTTTGTATCTCGGCGCTTCCAGCCACTAAAACTGTCTGAAAATCAGCCTAGAAGGAAATAAACATGGAGCGTGGAATAAAGCGTCTGCTCACGACAGATATCAGAAATGGTAGATGGAGATAAAACAGTTCAAGAGACACTCACAAAGACAAATGTGCCATTCCAGAGCCTTGTGGTGATGTTTACAAAGTAGTTGGTCTTCATCTCCAGATCGTTGAGGACACAAGTCATGGTTTCACATTTTGCTGCATTACAATTCTGGAAATGAACAAATGTTTGTTACACTGCAGTTCAAAAGCTTTCGGTAGGATTAAAAATAAAAGAAAGTCTTTTGGAAAGACTCTTCTGCTCACCAAGGCTGCATTTATTTGATCAAAAATACAGTAAAAACAGTAATATTATGAAATATTATTAAAATGTAAAAGAACGGTTGTAATATATTGCAAAACATAATTTATTCCTGTGATCAAAGCTGAATTTTCAGCATCATTACTCCAGTCTTCAGTGTCACATGAAATCATTCTAATATGCTGATTTGCTGCTCAAGAAACATTTCTTACTATTATCAATATTGAAAACAGTTGTGCTGCTTCATATTTGTAGGAAACCCTGTTACTTTTTTCAGGATTCTTTGATGAATAGAAAGTTCAGTATTATTGTATTTCTTTGAAATTGAGACCTTTAGTAACATTATAAAGTTTTAATGTCATTTTTGATCAATGTAATGCATCCCTGCTGAATAAGAGTATTATTTTCTTTAAAACAAAAACATCTAAAATGTGCATATTACAGCATGTATAATTTAATATAAACACACATGCATACTGACCAGTTCTGTTGTCCCTCTAAAGCTCTCTTTAGTGAAGCTGGCAGTGTGTGTTTCCTCTCTGATCTTCAGTGGGTCAATCAGATGGCTGCTGTCACACTGCACATTTGCAACCTACTCAGCAGAAACAGAGATGAAATGTCCTGGTTTTTCATCCCAGTCTGGTATTTACAGCACAATTTTATAAATACATGTGCAGTGAAATACTTTATTCGTATAGAAAGTTTAGAATAATTAACATGTTGCAATACATTTTAATAGAGCATTATACTTACAGGTGCCGTTTTGACTGAAGTCACATATAGTAAAGGATTTCCAGCTTTGGATCTGGTGGGCAGTGAGACGGTCAGACTAGCCTGATTGATTGGGAAAGTTCCAGTTGAAACCTGCAGAAAGACATGCTTCAAATAAGTATTGCATTGTTCAACATTGCTAACGCTAGAGGGAACTCAAGACATATTAGTTTAATGTTAAATACGCATTTTTTTTTGGACTCACTCGTAATGTTATGTTGAATTCTGGGCCGATGTCATCGAAACCTGAGACTGTATGTTTGACTTGATCCTCAGGACCAATGCCGCAAAAATCCAAGTTTATGTCTCTTGAAAAAAATAAAAAAATAAATAATAAATGCAACAACAGTTTTTACATGACAAAAACTGTTAGTGGTGCTCATCTGTGCAAAAATTCACCATGCTGCTAGTGTGTTGTTGGTGGTTGCCAGGGCTTTTTGATACAGTTGCTAAGGTGTTCTGAATGTTTTTATCACATTACTATGTGGTTGGTGTTGCCAATGTATTTTTTTTTTTTTTTTTGCAATTCAAGTACTCAGTTCAAGTAGTTTTTGTTTGAATTTTTAGATAGAGGTCAAACGTTAATATACAGTGGACTAAAGTTTGGAATAATTGATTTTTTTATGTTTATTTTTTTTTGCATTTTGCATTATCATACATTTCTTATTATTATCAACGTTGAAAACAGTTGCTGCTTAATATTTTTGTGGAAATCATGACACTACAATTCAAAAAGTATTAAGCAGTAAAAACAGTTTTCAACATTGATAATAATAAGAACCATTATTAATAATTGAGCATCAATAATACACTATAATAATTGAATAGCAAATCAGCATATTAGAATGATTTCTGAAGGAACATGTGACACTGAAGACTGGAGTAATGATGCTGAAAATTCAGCTTTGCATCACAGATGCAAGATGTTATTTTAAATCGTAATAATATTTCAACATGTTACTGTTTTTGCTGTATTGTTGAAGTTCAAAATCATAAAAAACTAAATTATTTCAAATGACCACATTAGAGCAGATGAAGGTTATCAGAGCATTAGTTTGACCTCTGACCTTGTGAGGATGATTTCGGCGTCGTACTGGACTGGGATGGAGAGAGAGACCTTGTTATCAGATGTCACTTCCTCCTCACTGTCACTGGAAAAAGTTGTGTAGGGTTATTTACAGTCAAACCAAACAGATGCTCAAAAGTTAGAACAGAAATGTGTTAAAAACAGTATTTTTACCTCTGCACTTCAAAGTTCACAGCAGCCTGTTTCTCTAGTTGATTCAGGTTGAAGTCAAAGTTGATCACAAATGTTACCTGATGAGACAAAATGAAATTATTAAAGAAAACACACACACACACACACACACACACACACTTAATAAATCCGATTGAGCAAGTCACAGATAATATAAAGGTATGTTAAGTAAATATGGGTATAAATATATATGCAATAATGATCTGAAGTAACAAACTCTATGATTTTTATTTTGCCACTTCAAATGTTCTTGTCAAACTTTCAGATGCCTCAGAGACACATAGTAGCATGGTTCAGACAGACTTACCAGGTAAATTACGTTTGAAAACATCTGCCTCATCAGGTGGACTAACCATCCAGGTAAGCTGCCCTTATAAAAATGTACCATGGTAAACGTAGTTTCTGCAGAAAGAGTGACAAAGATACTGAAAGCCTGTTTGAATAAAATTCTATCATTTTACAGTACAATAACAAAGGTATTTTGATGGAAACTATGATTATCAAGGTCAATTTTTGCAAGGGTTTGCTTACAAAGCAGAAATTGTGTCAAAGTTTATTAAAAGTTACAAATGAAACAAACCTTTCTTAAACTAAACTCCAGTCACAGGGGATCCATTCACAGGGGTTTCCTCACAGACAGATGCCATGGGCACAGGTGGGTGACACACACACACACACACACAGGTATTCCTATCATTATGGGGACTCTACATAAGTGTAATGGTTTTTCTACTGTACAAACTGTATTTTCTATCCCCTTACAATCTCTGCCCCTCACACAAAACTTTCTGCATTTTTACATTTTCAAAACACTTCATTCTGTATGATTCATATGCTGTTTTCCTCATGGGGACCAAAAAATGTCTCCACAAGGTCAAAATTGACTGGTGTTGCTATACTTGTGGGGGACATTTGGTCCTCATAACGTAGGGAACACCAGGTACACACAGACACTTTTCTCTTACCGTCTGGTCAAGCGTCAGGGTCGGGTATCCAACTTGGCAGTCGGGTGAGCCTGTTTTTGAACTGCATTTCACCTCAGTGTTGTCTCCCTGCACACATGAGCAGGACGATTCACAAATACAATTTCTCGTACACAAACCAGAGCAGATTTATGGCAGAACAGGAAATGGTGGCCGTACATGTGGTGTAAAAGAGGCGTAGAACAGGTTACTGGAGAAGTTAGCAGACACTCTTGTATTGTACGCATTTTCCTTCATGTTCGTTACTGTCACGGTGAAAGACAGTCTTCTTCTGTCAGGTCTGACTAGAAGAGCAGATGAGCTGTAAAACACAACAACATCTTGTTTACATTTCAGAATTCTGGTTCTTTAATAACATAATACACCTTGCCCTGCTGGTAGTAGTTGGTTATTTTTAGTTAACTCTTAAAGGGACAGTTCACACTAACAAACATTCTGTCATTCTCTACTAAGGCAGAGATTCACAAACTTTTTTCAGCATAACCTATTTGACTTTTTACTTGAAGCTCCCTCTGATATTTTAACTTAATTTTAATCATTTAACAACACATTTGCATGTTCACAGTTCGCTGATGTCACTTAATGTCACTTGACATGCATATTACAAATAATGTTATATGTTTCAAATATCTTTCTTTAGTACATTTTATTTAGATTTATTTTTTGTTTTAAAATGATTAAATTTAGTTTTTATTTTTAAATATTTTTATTTTATTTTACATTTACAGAAAATATTGTAAGGAGATAATTGAATAAAATATGACTTAAAATTTTGGTCTGACCCTCATACAAAGTTAAACAGACAGCTTTTATGACATTTTAGTATTATTTATATACTAACATAGCATTTATAAATATTTTTAATTAGCTGTTATTTTTATATTTCCAGTTTTCATTTTAGTTTTACTTTAAGTTTGAGTAATTTTGTTATGAGGATTTGATATTTTTATTCAATTTTTTTATTTTTTATTTTATTTTTTATATATAATATATATACTTTAAGTTTTGTTATGAGGATTTGATATTTTTATTCAATTTTTTATTTTATTTTTTATATATAATATATATAATATATAAATTTATTTTAATTACAATTTTCTTTCAGTAATTTTAGTACTTCAACTTTAACTTTAGTTAGTTGCCAAGGCAACAATTCAAATTTTCTGTTACTTTTTTAGGTTTACGCTTTTAACTAATATTCCTAATTTTTTTCAACTTTAATTCAATTATTGAAAATGATTTTTAATAGTTATAGTTTAGGAAATGTATGCAATGAATGATATTCCTTTCCAGTCACTTTTGGTGCAATAAACACCTGAAGTAGTTCGTCATTCTTCTTTTTATTGCCTAATATATATATAAATATATATAAAACAAGCATTTTGAAAAGTTACTGAATCAAATCAAAAAAAGAAAACCAATGAATTATTGATCAAATCAATTCACTGCCAACTAAAAGATTCACTGCTCTAAACGCCTGTGGTCTTATGACTTTTGTGGTTAAAAATTATTTAATTTTAATTTTTTTAAGAAAATGACCGATCGTTTCGCTAGATAAAAGACCCTTATTCCTCAGCTGGGATCGTGTAGAGCTCTTTGAAGCTGCACTGAAACTGCATTTTGGACCTTTAGCCTGTTTCAGCCACCATTGAAGTCCATTATATGGAGAAAAATCCTGGAATGTTTTCCTCAAAACCTTCATTTCTTTGCGACTGAAGAAAGAAAGACGTGAATATTGTGGATGACATGGGACATTTTTATTCTGATCTATGGCACTGATTCAATGCTGGCACGGGAAATCCCCGAAAACGTTGAAAGATACTACGACAACTATATTGTTTTCTTCTTCTGACAACTGATATTTTTTCACTAATATATGACTTGACCTGAAGAAGGACAGACGCAGGTAAATCGCACACGCTCAGTTCCCCAACACGTGAATGCATCGATTAATCGTGCAGCCCTACCACACATACAGTATGAGACAATAAAACAAACATCCCTTTTGTGTGAGTTTGTTCACATCCTTTACGTGTTCGTGTTGAATGGTGTAAAGCCCGTGCTGTTTAAGTGTTATTGATGAGAAATGTCACTGTGTGTGTGTGTGTGTGTGTGTGTGTGTGTGTGTGTGTGTGTGTGTGTTTGTGTGTGTGTGTAAGGTTACCTAGATACATTAACAGGTTTCACAGTCAGCTTCAGGTCACAAGAACATTTGTCATCAGAGCCACAGTCCTTTACAAAAGGGATCTGAGCAAATTTTGACAGTTTAAAATCTTTGAAACAATTCATGTTGGACTGATGCTCTTAAGTAAATTCAGAGAGAATCTTACAAAAAATTCCCACGCTTTGGGCTGAAATGCATCCAGGGCAGGGCCGGTGTCTGGATTCTGTGGACTGATGTCGACTCGCAAAGCAACTGGACTAACAAAATCAGGAGTCTCCTATTAAACAGTAAAACCAATGATGTGAAATGATCGTTCAAGCACTTTGAAATGAAATAAAGCTGAAGTACAGTGAGTATTGTTATTCTGAGCAGGCTTCTGTGGCAAATGGCTAAAACTCACCTGCACATAGACATTATGATCTACACAGCTTTCTTTGTCAGAGACGCTGAAAGATTTCTGGATAAGACGCTCTGAGTTGTCAAACTGGGCTCTTGAAGTGGCTCTAGATGACTGCAGGTCAGCGTCAAGCGTCAAGCTGTACTTGATATCTGAAGAAAAGTGCATTTCCATTCACTTCCATGGAGATTTTTGGAGAAATCAGCATACTGTATATGAGATACAAAACACATGAGAGATGGCCTTACCTACTTTACCCACTGATACTGTGGGTCTAAATTTTGACCTGAAACAGACTTTGGCAGCAACACACGACACCATCCTTCCTCCAAACATGCAAGGTTTACTCAGAATGCTGATCTTCTCAGGGCTGAAGGAGACCGTCGCTGTGACAGCTGCAACTCCCCTTGACCTGAGATCACAAATACTGTATGAAACATCACAGTTTCAGTATGATTTTATAGATCTTAAACAACTAGACCGAGATCCTCACCAGAGCTGCACTGCCTTCCCAGCCGCTCCGACTGAAATATCAGGGATCGAGTCATCGTTCATATCGCCTTGACTATCTAAAGAGCGTCCAAAGAACCGAAGCACCGGGTCCAGTTTGGATCCAAGTATTTTCTGCAGAAAATAACAAGACAGAAAAACAAGACTTGTTTAGTATGAAGATCAATGAGAAACAAGATTCTATGATTGAAAAATACGGAAAAAAGAGGAAATGTTAATATATCTTAGCTCTTACAAATGTACTCTTTGTATTCATATACAGTATGTTTTGAAAAACATTTACACCATTTTCAAGAAAAGCTATTATTTAATGACTCTTTTTTAAACAAATAATTCGTAAATTAATAATTAATTATTTCATATTTTTGTGGAGTTGCACCACATGACATTTTACAACCTGAGATAACCTTGCCTTGTCATAAAAGTGAAGTTTTAAAAAGAAATTTTAAAAGACCTCTCCCTGATATCATTTTATGCTTTTTTTCTGCATGTAACTCGCACCGTCTTTCATTTAGTGGACAAATGTTTTTCAAATATTAATAAGCAAAATATCATTTATTTTGTTTCAGATAGTTGCCAAGTCAAACATTTCTCATTTTCTTTTAATTTAACCTGATGTACTAAAATAACTAATACTGCAGATAAAAATGATACTTTAACTTAAATTAAACTAAAACTAAAAAATATAAAAATAAAAACTATATATATATATATATATATATATATATATATATATAATATTTTTTGTGTACTCTATATGTG